TTATCGAAGCACCGTTTAGGTTGAGAATTTGTGTATTTCGCTACAGCTGTACATGTTTTGTCGGCGGGAATCTAGCAAAACTTGTTATTTTAGTACAGATTTAACACTACTGTTGCTAACAATGGTCTCGGTGAGCCATATTTACTGCAGAAAAATAGTTCGCTTCCACTGCGTTTGTCTGAGTCACAGGGGATGTTTAATTTTGGTCAAATTTGTCAAAATTCCGTAGCAAAAATTTGAAAGCCAACTTACCATCATCAACCCGTGTTCTGTTCTCTGATAAAGCACGTTGTTTCAGCCAATCAGAGCGCGCGTTATATGGAAACTTTATTATAATACAACTTAACATGACTTAACAAGACAATAAGAATGTCTGTGACATGCTAAAAGTGACTTAGACATATGTATTCTAGCGTGCTTCAATGTATGAAATCTACATTTTCTTTAGATTCTCGCTACAGCTGAAGTGCATTAGCGGTAAATAATTTTCCTTTCTAGGCAGTAAATTATATTATATGATTGACGGTTCTAGTTGTTAAATGTGATAGTCCTTTTTGCATACAGTCCACAATGTTTTAAACCGACTTTAAGAAAAAACGGCTTTTAGGCCAGACAGCCGGATAGTTTACATCGCAACCTTACCGCTTGTTTTTGTTTTTTTAATTCCTAATTTTGGCGGAATATTTGGCGAATTTAAGGCCATTCATGCCTTATCCCGATCGAAGAGCACGTCTAGAGAATATTTACTTCAAGTTAATATTATTTTATGCGGAAAACTTAAAATTTTACGTGGGAAACTTAGGAACAATAATCGGTGCTAAATTGGGTCACGCACGCTTTCGCGGTTGAATATTAGCTATGTTGATCGAACTCCGTTAGTTCAAAAAGGTTAGTGCCAAAGTTTTTTTCCTGCTCCCGGTACACTAGCCCTAGTACTAAACATGGATATTGGTCAGAGCTCCAGATCACGTTATGCTTTTGAGAAACACTTCTTTAACCAGCAACATGTCCGCTTAAATTTTGAATACTCTTTGTTGGGCATTTTCAAAAAATCATGATTAATTTATCTTGAGCTCGATTTCAAATGTTTTACCGTTAATCAAAAGAATAAACATGAAATAAAATGATCAGTAAGTTTAATAGTCTTTGAGTAAAAGCATAATTTTTCAGCGCCTTTAGCGAAACGCCTAAATTTGACTCGAAACGGATCGATTTTCACGGTTTTGGATGGTCTTCGGAAATCGTCACCAGGAATATTGAAAAATAGCATTTAAAGCCAAATTATTGCTATTTTTGTTTATCATATGGACTAATTGTCTCGCACAGGAAATTTGAAGAAATTCTGCTCTCGGCCGAAAATCGAGTGGCTGGTTCTTACACTGACAGCTTCTTAAGAGGTACCAATTCTAAAACAACACATTATTAATCTCCTGTCATATTTGTGTACTGCTCAATGCCCTAAAAGAAGTCACGAAAAGCTCCCGCTGTGGGCCTTTTACGGATGAACACCCTTAGAGCTACCAAAATCACTTTTTCAACCTCTAAAAGATACGACGAACACCACCGTAATTTTTATAAGAACCACCGGAAAATGAATAGGCTTGTATTCTTTATAAAGGACTCCTTGTGGAAAACTCTTCTTCAGAG